GCTGCCGCCCCCCGCCCCTTTGGTAAGTGTCAGCGGGCCCCGCCGGGCGCAGGCCTGAGCGGCCCTCGGGCGCCGGGGTGGGCGGGAGAGCGAAGAAGCGGGTCTGAGCCAAGCGCGTCTCGGGGTGTCCCCCGCCCCCCGCGTGTCGTGCTGGGTATGTTAGTCCGGGTGTGCCCCGCCCCCCGCGTGTCACGTTTCACGCGTGCCCCTAGGTGTGCTCGCCCCTCCCCCGCCCTGTGTGTCACGCTGCACGTAGATCCCTGGGCGTGTCCTCCCCCTCGTGTCACACCGCGGGCCTATTGCTGGGTGTGCCCCCCTCAGCCGATGTATCACGCTGCGGGTGTGTTTCTGGCGTGCTCTCACGCTGCACGTGCATACCGGAGTGTGCTCTCTCCCTAAGAGTCTGCATGAAAAGTGTTCGAGATATTGCTTTTATTGCTGGAATGTGCTGGATTTGCAGCCACAACGTATAAAATTAACTATTAGTTCAAAGAACAGATACAACACATTGACTGGCAAAATCGTTTTTACAGATGATATTTTCATGTTATCCTTGGTTATCCTTGGTTCATCTGCCTATTAGACATTTTATGGAGAATAACTTCTGATTTCCCATAGGCAACCAAATATTTTAATTCCTTTGATTGCTACTTATTGGCTTGGTGTACATTTCAACTAATACTCTAAAGTGGGAAGCAAAGAGCAGTCCAGTGAGCCTTAAAGATTAACAGATATTTTGTACCATTAGCTTTCATGGGAAAAACCAGCTTCATCAGATGAGTTGGAGTGAAAATTACAGAATCCAGGCTACATATAGAAGCAAAAGCAGTTACCTGTCCATTGTAGAACCAGTGTTAAAGAAGCTAATTGGATCAGGCTGGATGTGTTCCATTCATAGCTTTTTATTTTTAAATGTGAAAATCAAAGGCAGAGGAATTGTCTTTGCAGTGCATTAACGAGTTAAGATCTTTATTCAAGCCCAAGCTGATGATGTGGAACTTGTAAATGAATTTCAGTTCAGCAGTCTCCTCCTGTAATTGGGTGATAAAATTCCTTTGTAGAAGAATGACTACTTTTAAATCCATTATTGAATGGCCAGGGTGGTTGAAATAGTCACCTACAGATTTATGTGTTACCATTCCTGATGTCTGATTTGTGTCCTTTTATCCTTTGTCACAGAGACTGTCCAGTTTGGTAAGAATACATGGCAGGGGGGCATTGTTGGCACTTGATGGCATATATCACACTAGAGGAGGTGCACTTTTAATAGTCCCCCATGTTGCAGTTTGTGTGGTTAGGTGCTGTGATGATGTTACTTTTATAGATATGTGGACAGAGTTAGCAAAGGGGTTTGTTGCACGGGTAGATTCCTGGGTGAGTGTATCTGTGGTGTGGTGTGTGACTGCTGGTATGTATTTGCTTAAGGTTCTCTGTAGGCGAGGTTTGGCCTGTCTCCCAAGATCAGTGAGAGAAAGGGATCATTTTCTAGGATAGGTTATAGATTGTCATTGAGGCACTGGAGGGGCTTAAGCTGGGGGCTGTAGATGATAACCAGTGGCGTTGATGGGCCTGTCTTGAAGTACTTGATTTCTGGGTACTTTTCTGGCTCTGTCAATCTATTTCCTCACTTCCCTAGGTGAGTATTTTAAGTTTTAAGAATGCTTGATAAAGATCTTCTAGGTGTTTTTCTCTGTCTGAGAGATTGGAGCAGATGCAGTTGTATATCAGGGTACGTCTACACTAGCTCGTTAGTTCAAGCTAGGTAGGGTAATTAGGGCAAGCGGAGTTGCAAATGAAGCCCGGGATTTAAATATCCTGGGCTTCATTTGCATGTTTCCGAGCGCCGCCATTTTTAAATCCCCCTTAGTCCGAACTCCGTGCCGGCAGCTACACGCGGCACCGAGTAGGTAGTTTGAATTAAAGATCCTAATTCGAGCTACCGTTACTCCTCATTCTTTAATTCAAACTACCTACTCCGTGCCGTGTGTAGCCGCGGGCACGGAGTATGGACTAAGGGGGATTTAAAAATGGCGGTGGCCCGGAACTTGCAAATGAAGCCCGGGATATTTAAATCCCGGGCTTCATTTGCACCTCCGCTTGCCCTAATTACCCTACCTAGCTCGAACTAATGAGCTAGTGTAGATGTACCCTTAGGGACTGGCTGTAGACAACATATTGTGTGATGTGTCCTGGACGGAAGCTATAGGTAAGAATAGCGACGAATAAGTTTCCGGTATAGGGTGTCATTTATGTGACCATCATTTATTTGTACTGTAGTGTCAAGGAAGTGGATCTTTTATGTGGACTGGTCCAGGCTGATATTGATAGTGGGATGGAAATAGATGAAATCCCCGTGGTCTAAGGGTCTCCTTCGTGTGGGTCCATATGATGATGTCATTAATGTAGCATAAGTAGAAAAGGAATCTCAGGGGACAGGAGCTGAGGAAACATTGTTCTATGTCATCCATAAAAATGTTGGCATATTGTGAAGGTTCTGTATGCCATTACCAAATACTCTGAGTAGTATTGTAATCCTAAGAACTTCTCTCTTTTGAATATGTTTGTTTCCTATTTAAATAGAAAGGAAACTAAATTGTATTTATTTGTAAACTACTGCTAATTTTTATTTTAACTTACTAATGTTTTTCCATTTCAGGTAATATCATGAAATATGACTCCTTTTGAGATAAGATTTCTGGAGAGAAGTAAAGAAGCAACATATAAAAGACATAAATATTTATAAGTAATGTCAGTTAATTTGCCATTCGATACATATTTGTACTTTCTGATTAACACAAGGAGCCTTTGGTGGAAGCAGAGAAACAAGCAACTGTACTACTTGTGTAGACCTAAACTTTATTGGAGGATTAGTCACACTATTCCTCTTAGAGTTTTTCATACAAGCAAAACTCAATGTAAATGGACTAAAAGCAAAACATTGGAGAATAGTAAACACATTTATAGTCGTGACACTTTATATTATAGAGTTTCTAAACATAGCACTTCTGCTCCCAAGGGACTAACAAAGGTGAATAATCATATGTCACGAATTAAGAACACTTTAGAATCTGTTTCAAAGGCTGTTTCAGGCACTCACAGTGAACTGGTTGCACGAATAGCTCGATTCAAGCCCAACTCAGGCATACTTGGAAAAGCATTTGAAAGTAATGTTCAGGAAAATAATCTCAAGGTAAACGCAGAAAATGATAAAGAAACTACATGTGCTGGAGCTCAGGGAAATTACAAAAATTCCCTAGTTGAAAAGGACTTTGTTCATACAGATAAAAACACAGAGTCTACATTGATAAGAAAAAGTAGTGCTAATCAAGATACTCTAAAATATTCTGTAGATGTTAAAAATAACCTTTTTCATGTAAGCTATTTCAGTACAAATTTTGGAGAGACTTTCAACTTTTTAGCAAATCATATCAACTGGTATTTTGGCATTAATACTGTTATGGATCAAGAGAAGAAAAGGAATGCTTTTCCACAAGACTCTAAGAACATACTTGGAGATAAACTTGATTCACCAGAAAGTGACATAATGAGTAATGAAAATAGGATGAAGTCAGTATCTGCTTTAATTTCTACAGCTGAGATTCAAGATGCTGAAAAGACAAATACATCTCTTCCAACTTCCCCTAAGAAGAGCATTTCAAACTTCCTTTCATACCCTGGTAACAGTGTACAAGCTTTTGTGGACAATTATATTGGTGGTCTGGTCCCCAAGTTGAGATCTGAGACAAAAGCCGCTTCACAAGATAAAACACAAGAAGGTGAAGAATCTTTGAAAGATGAAGAGGATGGCAGCAAAGAGATCAAAACTGAAGAAGGGAAGGAAAAGCGTTTGTCTCTTCAAAGAGAAAAGGCAAGTCTTTGCTTAGTTTTTACACATTGGGGTTTTTAGCTACTATAGTTGTCAGAGTCATGCTTTTATCTTTTATAATGTTATATCAAAGCTACATTAAAATCTCAGCTGAATAGGTGAAACATTGAACTGAGTTATATGATGGACTGTTACTTAGATTTATAATAGACACTTCTAATTTAGGTAAACGAAGAACCTCTCCATTCAGTAAAAATATTTAAAAAAAAAGTTTCTTGAAATAACCTAAGAAAGCACCCATTCAGTAAAAATATTTAAAAAAAAAACGTTTCTTGAAATAATCTAAGAAAGCAAAAATTTGAAAAGATCTTCTCAAGTTTTGTGCATATCTCTTGGAGTAGTTTCATATTCTTAATATACATATGTGTTTATCTTCAGATTATTGCAAGAGTGAGTATTGATAACAGAACACGAGCTTTAGTTCAGGCCTTACGAAGATCTTCTAACCGAAGAGTCTCTATAAACAGGATTGAAGAATTAACTTATCATCTTCTGGAGTTTCCAGAAACCAGAGGAGTTGCCATAAAGGTACAAATCACTTTCATGTTTAACCTATCAACCATAGAGACACATTAAAGTACTTATGTAATGACAGATGTTTTATCATAAAATAGATTAATGTAAAATCTATCATTTTTTCTTTCTTCTTAAACTGTTGTATCTTATACTTACTCTATGTGAGTATCTTCATTTATTTTTATTACTACTGTATTAACCTCTTGGAGGTAATATATAAGCCATCGTGATTTGCAGTTACTGTCTGCATTGTGGAAAACTTTGGACTTTTATTATCCTATACATTAACTGTTAAGGAATTCTTTAGTTGTCAAAGTAATCTTGTGTACAGTGTCATAACAGAACGCCTGTCCTAATTAGGGTTGTAAAAATGTGTGTAAATAGATTACCATGTAACCACTAATATCTTCTTAGTAGTTACATTCTGTGGGCTCTGTAGTATAAAGCTTACTTCAGCTTTATGCTGCAGAGCCTGCAATGAAGCCTTACAGGGAGCCGGGCTCCCATGGATCCAGCATGTAACCTGTGGTGAGGGAGGCAGACCAGGCTGGGTCCCATAATAGAAGAGAGCTGTTTCAGCCAGGCAGCTGGAGCAGCCCCTACCTGCCATTAACCAGAACTAGTAAGCATAACCCATTTATGGCAATGCTTATCAGTTAGCCAGTTAACCAATTAATCTTTTACATCCCTAGTCCTATTGGGGTTCTTTGTGTGCTTCTATTAAAAAAAACTTAATAGTAGTAATAAACCTAATAGACTTCAGCATGAAGAAAAGTTTCTGTTCTGTCATACAACTAAAATATTTGAAGGCTGTTTTGTTTGTCAGTTTATTTTGTCTTAATAAACAACTTAACTTTTGGCTTTATAGTTCAAAACAGACTATGAATAACATCAGCTCAAAACAAAAGAAAGAATTTAGGTAGAATGGCTCTGTTCCAGAAAGGGACTTAGATGCCTAAATTTGGGATTTAGGCATTACTATGATGCACAAAACTCCTACTCAGCTTGCTCCAGCCCTGTAGGTGTCTACGGGCTTGTCTTCACTATTCTAGAGTTTGATTTAGCAGGTCTAATAAAGATCCACTAAATTGAACGCAGAGGGCATGCCCATTGGCACCAGTACTCCTGCTCCTTGTAAGGAGTAAAGGAAGCTGATGGGAACATTTGTTCCCATCATCCTCCTGCTGTGGAGACCACACAGAAACTCAAATTAAGGTACGTCAACTCCTGCTACATGATTAGCATAATTGGAGTTGTATATCTTAATTCAACCTTCCCCTGTAGCGTAGACCTGGGCTAAAACTCACTAAGCACCTATGTTTCTGTCCCTGAGCATTCGTATTGTTGTAGCGCCCCCTCTCCACCTGGTTACCTTCTTTAAAGCCAATCTGCTTACAGGTTTTGATGGATAGGTCTGGCTTCTTCTGGATCCCGCCACCCACTCTACTTTATTTTTTCCTATGGATTTATTTGGCGGTGCCTCCACCCCCCTCACTCCTTCCTGGCAGGGTCACCTGGGCAGCGTGGGAGGAAAATTCTAACCCAGGGTATTTGCCAGATAGTTGGAGATTCCCAGAAAATAACACAAACACATACACTATATTAAACATAATTATATTAAACAGGAGACAAATATAACTTAACAGGGTAAAACACTATTTTTAGGGTCACCGATGCCCAGCAACTGTAAGGTTAGTGTCCCGTTGGTACGCGTACTTTATTGGGACCCTTGATTACTTCTGTCCACAAATTTCTTCTCTGCAGTGGTTTAGCATTGGGGCTGACTTGGTCCAGTACTGCCCAAAGGACTCAAAAGTGGGAGAAGGTGGTAAATCCCTCCACAGGTTTAATATGCAGCAGGTTATAAAATCCTCAAACAAATTCCCTGACTTACTAACTAAAAGATGGTGCGCTTAAACACTCTATGAATGAGCCTCAGGTTCAGAGATGACTCAGTCACTGCAGAGGGGCTGGTCTCTTCTGGCAGGGATCCTCTTCAGGCAGGAATCAGGCTGCTGCGGTCCCAGAATTTCCCTTCACCACAAAGGGGTGCAAGGCTCAAGGTGCAGGCTACACAACTGCACCAAAATTCAAACTATAATCTTCTATCCCAGCATTCAGACCCACACAGCAGGCAGCAGCCCCGAATCAGCAGACAGAGCAGAGCTGACCATGCGGTGACTGGTTTCACCAGGGAGCTGGAGAGCCAACTCAGCCTTGCTGGGGAAGCCTTCCAGCAGACTACACAAATTGGGAATCAGCCGTGGAGAAATAAAACCCAGCTGAGGGATCCTGCCTTCAGGTCCCTAGAGGCTAGTTCTCAGGGGGAAACCCTGCATGCAGGCCTGGGTCTTACTAGCTCCCACATAACCAGCCTTCCCCTTGCCCCGGCTGGCTCCAGCCTCTTCAAAACATGGCCCCTCCTTCCCCTCCTAAGCTCTCTGGGAGGGGCATCTCATTCTCTCTGGATTGCCTGGCACACTCTGTCCCTGGTAGGGAGGGGGAGCCAAGGCGAACTCAGTGTGCTTGTCCCTGAGCTGCCAGCAGATAGGGCCCCAGGTAATCTCCTTGGGGCTACATGTTGTTTCAGGCAAGCTTCTAGATGCCTGTCTCTCACCTAACCCTCAGCATATTTCTCAAACTAGGAGGAGACAGGTCCTCCCCTGCCTATTGTTTGCAGGCACTTGATCCAGAACATGTACTCAGAATGCTCTTTACACAAAATGGCATGGACGAGTGTGGGAGGAGGGAGGGTGTGGAAGGGCTACCCTTATAACTAGGACCCTACCAAATTTACAGTCCTTTTTGGTCAATTTCACAGTAATAGGATTTTTTAAATAGCCAGTTTCACAGCTTCAGATGTTTACATCTGACATTTTATGGTGTTGTAAACATAGACGTCTCAACCCAAAAGAAGGTTATCGTGAGAATGTGTCACAAAGTAATTGTGGAATGGCCATAGGGTAAAGGGAGTTGCCACTTTTGGGAGGGCAGAGCTGGTTTTATGGGTGGGTGACAACCCAAGGCCCCAAGGTCTATCCCTCCTTCTCCCCCCACAACCAGCCCAAAGCCTTTTTAATACCTTATCCCAAAGCTATTGAGGGGCAGGACTGGGGGTGCTTCAGCCAGAGTGTCCCGCTGTGTGCCAGGCTAATCCTGTGGGACTGGGGAGGGACAGGACTTCTTGTTCTGCATAGGCTCTTAGACCTGGGTTAGACCCTCCTCAGGGAACATCCCCTACTTCACTGAGGAAGGGACAGGTGCTGCAGCAGAGGAAGAGGAAGTCTTATCCTTCCCCAGCCTGGCTTGTACTTGCAGCTAGAGCCCATCTCACATTAGGAGCTCCCAGAGGTGGTGGGAAGGTGTCCCCCCAGCATTGGTCCTCCCCTATAATAGCTTTGTGGCTGCACTGCCTTTAGAGCCCAGTTTACCAGACCCTGCTCTGAAGGCTGCATAAGTTCCCGGAGGTGAGTCTGATCCAGCCCTGGGTGAAAAAGAAGTCCTGTCCTTCTTCAGCTCAGTTAGGACATGCATCTAGAGCTGAGGTGGGGTACCCCCAACCCTGCTCCTCCCTTATAATAGCCAGGTATTATGGGAGAAATCAGATTCATAGTCTGTCCTGCATTTTTTATGGCTGGGAATTTGATATGGTCATATTTAACCCTTAGTACAGTGTTTGGGTGTGGGAGACCCCTGATTCACTTTCTCCCTCTGCTTGAAGAGGCAGGATTTAAACAGGGAGTTCCTGTTTCTAAGATGAGTACCTTAGTACTGAACTACAGTCATTCTGACCCTCTGTGTTGGGTCAGCAACCCCCAACACACATGCCACAAGTGGCATGTGAGCCAGTTTTTACTGGCACATGGGGCTGGAGCTCAGGGACTGAGTTCCCCCTGATTCACTTTCTCCCTCTGCTTGAAGAGGCAGGATTTAAACAGGGAGTTCCTGTTTCTAAGATGAGTACCTTAGTACTGAACTACAGTCATTCTGACCCTCTGTGTTGGGTCAGCAACCCCCAACACACATGCCACAAGTGGCATGTGAGCCAGTTTTTACTGGCACATGGGGCTGGAGCTCAGGGACTGAGTTCCCAGCCGTGCAGCTGCAGGCGGGAGCATCAGCTCCGGCTTCCTGCTAAGGGAGGGCGAGGCGAGCGCCTGTGTCCCTGGGCCTGCTTCCTGCTTCGGGAAGGGGTGGGACTGGGCCTGCTCTGCAGAGTCGGGGCTGGGAGGTTGGAATACATGGCATGCTGCATTGCTTCATGTGTGTGGGGATGGGGAGCCCCTTCCCCAGTGTCATGCTGGGCCCCATGCTCTGCCTGCCTGAGCCCCAAAGCCTCAGCCTGCAGGCAAAGGGCTGGGCTGGGAAGAGACTCTGCCCCCACCACCTCTCTTCACCTCAACGCTGCTCCCAGAGAGCTGCGAATCCCAGCACTGCTGCCATGCCAGTGAGAGCGCTGAGGGCACAGGGATGTGGGGGCAGGAGGTGGGGTGAAGGAGGATGCAGAGGCAGGATGGGAGGGAGTAGTAGGGGTTGAACTGAGGGGCATGGGGCGATGCCCAGGATTTGGCTGGGGGGGATCATGGAGCTGAGGGGAGTGAGGCTGGAGCAGAGGGAAGATGTGAGGGGGGATACAATTTTACTTTGAAGAAGCTGCACTTTCCTTTATTCCCCACTTCTTTGCCTCCTTCCCCAACTTGCTATTTGGCTGCATTCTCACCCTCTCACCTTTCTGCCTTACTGCCCCAACCCTCTCTCACCGCAAAACTCCCTCTCGTACCATTACCTCCCACCTTTTCCTTCTGCCAAGCTCCCTTCCAGACCCTGCCCTCTTCATCCCATCCTGCTCTCCACCTCCCACCCAGATCCTGTATCCCTGTCCCACTTGCTGGCAACCCTGTCCCACACATTGAACCCCTCATTTTTGTTCCCACCCCATAACCTAAGGGGGTCCACAAAATCCACTATCTCTGGAACCTCAGAAAAGTAAATCTGGCCTGAGGGAAGCCCTGAATCTGTCTTCTCTGTCCTTTCCCATCACCCCATGGGGGCTGGAGTGCCATAAGAGTGAGGTGTCTTAGTTGGGGGCCACATCAGTGAGAATTGAGGGTTTTGGGAGGTTTTTTGCTTCTCACTTGTGTGGTCGCCAACTGATTTTTCTGTGGGTCAGTGACCGCCCCGCCCAAAAAAGGTTCCCCACCTCTGCCATAAATAAAGAAAACATTGAAACCTTGTGTGTAGGATATAATATTTTACTTTATTTAAAATGAAGCTTGATGAACTAACATGAGAGAGTTAAAATGCTTAATCTGTTTAATAATTTAAATTAAACCATTCTCCCCAGCTGCAGCACTAGCAAAATTGCTCGGACGTAATTATGTAATTAACAGTAAGTTTCCATTAGCAGTAAGTGGTCCATGGAAAGGTTTGCATTGACCCAGGTGGTCCACAGGGCACACGGTGGAGAGAGCCCATTCCCACCTCCAAGAGAGCAGCACTGCCCATGGCAAGAGGGTTAAATCTTGGCATGCCACTTCAGAAAGGTTGTGACCCCTGCTCTAGCCTAATGCATATTTAATTGCTTGTACAAAGTGGAACATCTTCAACAAGAAAGATTGTGGGAGAGCCACATCGGAATATCCATGATAGATGAGAACCCCCTGTTCAAATCCAGTTTTTGAGCCAAGCCAGGGTGTCCCACATTGTGCAATGAGAACCTAACCACTGGATTAAAAAATTTATAAGAGGAGTCTTCTTTCACTTCCTACCCTGACTCACTGTCAGTTTTGTATGGAATTTCAAGAAGTGGCTTACAAACTGTGCATTCTAAGCAATGCAGGTACAGTAGGTCAGGGAACATATAAAAGGCCACTTCCATGGGATGCTGTTTATGGGTTTTCATTTATGCTCCATGGAAGTTCCAGTGTGACTGAGAGAGGCAATATGTGCTACTCAGCTTCCTGGATTCATCAGTAATCTCCCTGAACTCCAGAGAGCTTACTGATGAACCTGTGAAGCTGAGAAGCACATACTGTCTTCTCAGTCATCCCAGAACCTACATGATTCATATAAAAAGTTTAGCGTTCTTCTGCTGGGCAGGTGCGTACTGTCTTCTCAGTCATCCCAGAACCTACATGATACACGTAAAAAGTTTAGCATTCTTCTGCTGGGCAGGTGCAGAATGTGCACTACCACCTGCCTTTCCCATTTGCTGGCCAGTATGTCTTAAGACTATGCAGCCCCTAGGTGGCCTGATATAGCTGGAGCTGGCCCAGGGCTCGAGTTGATTGGCTGGCACAGCTCAGGCCGAGTTGGGCTGCTGGGGCCTGCTCAGGCCTGTTTTTGCTTGGTGTGGCAGGGTTTGCACACCCTGTCACAGGTGTGAGAATATTCTGGGGTGATGACGCCACCTCCTCGGCTGCAGGGTCGCTGATGATATTTAGAGTCCATAAATATTCCCCTCAAGGTAACACCTAGTCCGTAAGCCATCCTGGTTGCAGGATAGTATGGCCCAGTGGCCAGAGTCAGCAAATAGCCGTTGTCTAATGGTGGCACAGCAAGTCGTTTAGTAGCCCTGTTCATAGGACAGTACTGTCGACTGGTCAGAGTCTGTAAACAGCCCTGGTCTCAGGTCAGTGTGGCCTAGTAGCCAGAGTCTGTAAACAGCCCTGGTCTCAAGGCAGTGTGGCCTAGTAGCCAAAGTCTACAGGGTTGCGGCTATCGCCCTGGTAAGTAGACCCAGGTCCACCATGCTGCACCAGGTCCCAAGCCAGGGCCCTGTGAGCAATAGATCGGTCTACCTCTCCCTCGGCGGGGAATCCAGCCCAAACATGCCGAG